TTTACGTTTTGATACTAAATTAACTTCTGAAGTATAATTTTTTTATTTTTTTATATTTTTCAATATATTTATTTTGTTTGTACAAAATAAAAAAAATAATTTTTAACGATACAATAGTCTTTGTTAGGCTTAACATCGACGAAAATTCAACGCGAAGCGACACGCAATGGAGAAAAATTTCAACATCGGATACGTTAAACTATTTTTTCGTACATAAATCGGTTATCCGAAATATCAGTTATACGAACAACCCCAGTCCCCAATTGATTCGGAAAATCGATGCTCTACTGTATATACAAATTTAAAATTATAATTAATGTTATTATAATTTTAAATTTATTATAATTATAATTTATGTTAATTATAATTAAAATTATAATTAACATATATATATACAGTAGAGTCTCGAAAACTCAGCACTCGATAATCCAGCAGTCCAGATAACTCGGCCACACCCTGGCAGGGCAAAAAAATCCTTAATTAATTAATTTTTATTATAGACAGCTTTATGCCTCATAAAGTATTTTTCTGAGATCTGTCTTATCAGGTAAATTACTGTACACAGTGTATTCATTAATTTTCATTTTCATGTAGGAAAGGCTCTATGCCTTTATAAAGGACATACTTTTCCTTTGTTTAAGGGTATTTGGGCAGTTTATTCTCTGTTGTATTCTCAAGTAAACAATACATAAAAGTACAGTACAGTATTTTCTGAGGAAACACTCGTACTTATTTTTTTAACCCCATTCCCGATAACCCGGCATTTTCAAACTCTGCCACCCTTCAGTCCACATTAGGCCGAGTTTTCGAGACTCTACTGTATATGATGAATTTAAAAATTTAATTATACAGTAAAGCCAAGTTATTGCCCAATGAACCTAATGTTTGATTTAAAACAATTTAAAATAGAAAATTACAAAAATCTGATTTTCTGTATTAAATTTTCATGAAAATTAACTCGCATGTGACCTAAAACTACTTAGACAAATTAGAAATTTTATATAACTAAAGTTTAAGAATCCAGAATTTAAGATCTGAAGGGTTATGCAATTATTGGTAATTGTTTATAATATTTTTAATGAAAATTACATTATTAAATCATGAAAATACTTTCTTTAATTAGTTGAGGAAATATTTATGATGGTAATTTAAAGTAATACTATTAAATTTCTTAATTATTATACCTTATAAGTTGTTTTTAGGTAAATAAACTATAAGAGCACAAAATATTTAGAATATAATAAAAAAATGAAAAATATTTGAAATTATTTCATTTTTATTTTTAGGCTCCAATTAGAAAATCTGGAACTTGTTTTGATTTTGACAGCAGTTTAACTTCTGTTTCTGCAATAAAAAGGTATATAATTTATTTTCCTTTGAATTTAATTTTGAAACAATTTTATTCTTCAAAATAAATTTTATAGTTTAGTTATATAACATTCATAATTTTCTATGTATGTATGTCTCTTTAATTTGACATTAAGTTCGGTAGACTATCATTACAGCTTTCAGGTTAGACACTTCTTTTATTGTTTCCACATATGCATTTCAGACTTGTATAAATGTTAAGTCCTTCTACAAATTGTTAAAAAAACACAATTAGTAACATGACAAAATTCTTCGCGTGCAGGTCATATTTACTGACATAAAACTATCATACTTAAAAATTGACACATTTATAAGATACCTATGGTTCTGTCTTCTAAAACCACTGTGTATAATGGGTAACATTGGAAAGATTTTAAAATACAGCTATTAAAAACACCACAAATACATTTTCCAACATTAGTATGGAAAACCTTATATATTAATAATTTTATAATGTTTTACTTTATAACATCATATATCTTAATAAAATAACAATATAACACGATACTCACTTTTAACATTTGTTCATAAAATCTACCAAAAATGATATATAGATTCATAATTTTGTTTAAAGAAATCATTAACTTATCTGTAGTCTATATTATTCAATAATGCAGTCAATATGTTGAGAATGTTGCCAGACTTCAAAATTATTATTGTTGACAATGACTGCTGACAAAAAAATTTGTTAAAATTAAGTTAAACAAATTAATATCTGAAATATAAAATTCAATTTATATTTTGTGTGTAAAATTAAGATTAAATTATTAATTTGTTATAAAATTATAAAAATTTTTATATTTTAATATAAATTTTGTACTTTATTAAAAGAATATATATTGGTTTTTAATTATACTGTGAGGTCAGCCTGCTGCAACATCAAGGAATTCACACATGTTGGGAGACCTGTGACTTGCATTCGAACATGAAGTAAATGGGACTTCAGTATTTAGACAAAGGAAGAAATTATATCGCGCTAGATGGTAACAGTGCGTCATGATGCCATAAATTCATCATGTAGATTGTTGGATGTCGATTGGAGTCGTAATCGGGTTCTTATGTATATGATTAAAACAATAGTGTAATGAGAGAGAGAGAAAGGTGAGAAAATGTTTCTTAAACAGTGAGTTGTCAATCTTCAAGGTAACCTTAGGAAACATCTAGTGACAAATTAGAAAATTCAATCAAGAAGAGAGATTGATAGTTCACTGAATGGGAGGATTGCAAGAAGCTTCCTGAGGAGGTTTCTCCCAGCTTCAGAGAAGAAACTCTTGGGTAGAGAGACAAGTGGTTTACTAGTACTTTACCATTTATATTTTTACAAGTGATTGTTCTCTGTCACCTCTATGCTCTCCTGTTTAGAGATCTTCTAGCTCTGATCCTAAAGATAACTTCACCCACAATACGGGTATTTATCAACTTCCTGTCCATCAGAATTTTTACATTCCCTCCCTCCCTCTCTCTTGGTGAAAAATAGGTAGTTAATGTAGTGGGCAAGGGAAAAACTGGCTAATGTCAGTCATTCTGACATTAGACAACAGTTAATTTTTCCAACCACAGTATATTGTTGCAGTCCTGTAATACTTTATGCATTCAAATAGACCTGCTGTGGATCTGTTTTTAAAATTGTTTGGGTGTGGGTTTATTTAAATCTGTGTAAGCTATTTGAATTAAAGGGGGGTTTCCAAATTAGTTTGTATGGGTTGGTGTGATTGTAGGTTGTTAAATGATGTTTTCAAGATTTAGATTATAGGTTGAAAGCAGATTCAAGGGACCAAGGCACATGCCCCTGTCATTTTTTTACTGAAAGTTACTCAATTACTTTAGAATTGCTTTAGTTATCTAATCTTATCTAATTGAAGTCACATGATATGTGTTGCTATATTTACTTTTAAAGTAACAAAATTGATTGGTTTGGTATCAATGGGATGCTGCAACACCGTAAGCAACGTCCTAGATATGCCCATATTAAGTTAACCAAAAAACATTCTTGTCATTCAGACAAGAAATGTGATGTAATAATTTACATAATTACAATTTTGAATAGGTTGTTTATGGAAATCTATACTTTAGAAAATGTGATTTGAATAAACTCATATGGGTTTATTCAAGTACTGTGGGCTTTAAATGTGACTGGATGTGGGTTTATTTGAGCCTGTAGTGTAGTTTAAATATGTGAATCTATTTGAGTGCATATTGTTTTTATAATTATATTAATAGTTAAATGTATTTTTTAAAGTTTGCGGAACTATTTACATGTTTTAAATATATTTTTTCAATAGAGCTTTATTTGAAAAAGATCCTGAGGAGGAAATAGATAAGCTGCAATTGAGTACAAGTGCACCTGCATCAATCACAACAAGCAATCTTCTTGGAAATTTTGAGGTATATTAAGATTTTTGTAAAACTTCATTAAACACTTCCATTTCACAAAGTGCAGTAGATTGCTATAATCAAGGATAATGTTATCAGTCAGTTAATTATACCAAAATTAGAAGATCCCAAAACACAAGTTATAATACATTACATAAACTTATTGTAATCAGAATTTAGTTATAAAAATGCCTGTTTATACAAAGATAATGTTCATTGAGGTACACTCACTCAGCAATATGTAAATCAAAAAAACACAACACTTTAATTTGCTGAGAAAATTTAATGAAAAGCAAACGTTTTCAGCCAAATCTGTCGTCCATCATCAAGCTAAGATATTTGAATATAAACAAAATAGAACAAAAAATTTAAATACAAATAAAATAATGAATGAATGAAATATACATATACATGTATAAAGAAAAATAAAATAAAAATTATTATTATAAATAACAAAATATGTATATAAATACATGCATAGGTTAATTAAATATTAAAACGTTATATAATAATACATTATATGAAATTCAATGAAATGCAAGATGTGCAAAAATAGTAAAATCAAGGCATTAAATTAAGAGTTCTCTAATCATTTGATTAAATATTTCCAGGCCGAAGACTTCTAAATCTCTAGAATTAATACATGCATCATGCAATCTGCTCTTATATATTTCAATTTTTTCGGCACAAATCACCAACGTTGGTGAATGTACTGGTTTAATAATACTTGCTTCGTCCCATTTGACGATTGAGCCCTCAACTTGCACCAATTTCGATAGTATTGTTGCATTAGATCCCTTGCTGATATTGTATTTGTGTTCTTTTAATCTGACTCTTAAGTTTCTATTAGTGACACCAATGTAATTTTGTCTAGTTCACGATTTTCATACTGAATCTTGTATACTCCTGCTCTTTTTTCTTTATCTATTCTGTCTTTGTCCTTTCTTAATAATTTGTACAGGTTAGGAGCTTTCTTGAAAATTAATTTGGACTTTTTGCAGGCTGAGATCTCCTTCATGATGGCTTTTTTCTTTCTATCATAAGTGAACTTTGTGATTTTGCTGAAATTGCCACTTTTTTGTTTATTTTGTAATTTCTGATCAACATTGTTATCATATCTGCTCTGTACCCTAGAGATCTGGCAATGTGTAATATTCTATTAATTTCTTTTTACCTATCTACCACACAACTGCAATAGAGAGAGACTCTTTTGGACAAGGACACAGAAGGCAGCCATTTTGTATTAGTAAGGATCATTAGAGTGGGACGGAATGTACAGAGGGCTGTGCGTCAGTTTTATGTACATCTTAGTGGCCAAATGTCCTTCTTTGAATTCAATGTCAATATCTAAAAAAAGTATTCGTGAGGCACATTTCTGTTCAATCTTCAGCACGAGACCATCATTGTTGTTGTTGATCATGTTAATAAAGTCATCAATTTTTTGGTCATTCTTCCAAATTACAAAGACATCATCAACGTATCTTTTAAAATACACAATGTCATTCAAGAAAACAGAGAGAGCACTTTTTTCCAATTTTCTCAATACAAACTCACACAACAGTCCTGACATGGTACTTCCCATAGGGACTTCTCTTTATTGTCTGTACTGATGGCCATTAAAGGCAAAAAAAGATTCATAACAAATAAGGGTAGCTAGTTCTAGCAAGTCATTATTGTAAAATGCCAAATCTGGGCTCTTGCTATGCATGAAATCTAAAAGTGCTATCCTGCATGATTCAATTTTTATAGAAGGGTATAAACTTTCATAGTCCATCACAGTTCCAATTTCATCGTCCATTAAAATTAGATCTTGTATCTCATTAATCACATCTCTTGGATCATGTGCCACATGTACATTATTCTTGAGGTGCAAGGTGAGAAACTTATGTAATCTCTTTTCGAGAATAAACGCTGGTCCTCTGCACCTTTCCACTATAGATCTCATTTCTTTACCCTCTTTGTTTGCTTTTGCCAAGACCCATAATCTTGGCATACTTGGCCTGGGATTCTGACAATTTTTGAGGAAAGGTAATGCATTAGTGAGCTTAGCTTTTTCAAGCTTCTTAACCCTTCTGTTGACACTGTCGATAATCTTTGCTTCAACACTCTCGCATTCGGTTTTTTAATATAATCCTCACATTTAGTAAGTTTGATGTATTTACTGGCATAACATCCTTTTTTCCAAGTCGTCTGGTCTTTTATGACAGTTTATGATAATGTTAATGTTTTCTATGCTAAGTCCCAATGTATTGCTATAATATAAAATTGTTATTGGGCTTAACCAGTGCTTTAATTTTTTGCTTACAAAACAATAGTTTAAATTGTTAGCATCATACTATCTGTTGTTGAAGTTGATAGTAGACAAACATTAATGAATGAATTATTTAGTATAATTAGTAAGTCTTTATTATTAATTAATAAGTTATACATTTTAAAATTGTTAATATGGTCTTTTAATGTTGGTCATTAAAACCAGAATTTCCTCTAATTGTATAGATCACTTAATATCTTGGCCAGGCAATGCGCATATTTGGTTGGGACTCTAGAAGTTTTAAAAACTTCAATAACTCATCTTTAGTAATGTGGTGACCTTGTAAAAAATTTGACAATAATTTGTTCTCTTCTTTATGTAAATAAACTAGTTCTTGCTACTGTTCATTTTTACAGCCTATTCAAGATTTGTGAAATGAGTTGTAGTTTTTATTTTGTGTGTTATCTGTTTAGTCAAGTTTCAAAGTGATTGCAGTAAGTGGAGTATACTGTATTAAATATAATTTTTAAAAAAGTCAAATAAAATTAATTGAAAAGTGAAAACATTTTTACATTGAGTTTCATTTCTTTTATATTTTAAATTTAAACAGTAAGAATTTTGATAGTGATGAGTATTATTATTATAGTTAAATATCTACTCAAATGTTAAGAATCATTATATTTAGCATAGCGAATCCATTCAAATTTTGTTTTTCTGTAAAAGAAGTTTTAGTAAGTTCTTTGCATATCAGAATACTCAAATAATTTAAATTTTTATTTAAAATTATGAATGTATAATCCAGTTTAATAATATTTTTATTAAATAACTGCAACAATCAATACCAGGGTAAAGTTAACTACATCCACAAACCTGTTACTGGTGTGAAACTCAAATACAAATGAAAAAACAATTCCTCACACACACTTTCAAACCGTAAACGGTTTTTCTTCAGGTGAACAGTGAAATTTCCAATGGAATGCAAGTACAAAAAGAACACGATTTGAAATTTGATTCAAATGCCTGTTTCATGATGATATCCTACTGGGCAAGCACACTTCATCTGGCAGCAATTATCGAGAATTAAAGGTAGTTGTCCATTAGCACCTGCCATGCTATGGATAGGGTCAATTTCTCCTTGTTGTTGATACATGTGTTGGTGAGGCCAGTGGTGATATTCAGCAGGTTCGCACAGGTTCGGCCGAACCCGTTGTTAACATTTTCAAAGTTTTCCAAATCCGTTGTTAAACACACGTAACATTTCTCAGTGGTTTTGTTTCTTTTAAAAAATATATTAAAATATACATATTATACTCTGTAACACTACTAAACTAGAGCCTTATACCTCGTTTGCCATGGTGCAACCTCCATCGACCATTTCAATCTCGACTGAAACGAGATTTAATCACAATCGACACAAGAGAGTTCTTGAAACTAGGTCAGTCATACGAGAGATCCCACAATCCCACGCGCGCGAGAAAATACAAGATGGCTGCGGAACACGTGTCGGGCTATCGACAGTGAAATAAAAAAGATATTTTATTTCGAGAAACGATGACATCTGTCTATTATTATAATAATACCTAATGTTAAAATAAATGATTTAGAAAAGTTTTTTCTTGAGAAAAAGCCAATTTTTATGTTTATAAAATATTGTGAATGAAAAATATTAAAATATGTACAAAATAAACCATTTCGAACAATTTTTTTTTATTATTTATAAAAAAAATATAGTTCTGGCATAAACAATGTTAAATTTTAACTGATGTAATTTTGCGAATGCATCTTTTTTATTTATATGGGTATCTTAAGGCCAGTTTTTGCGCTAATGTTGCTAATGCACCATTTGAGCGAAAAAAATTGTTAAGGAAAAATTTTCTGTTAGCGAACCCTTTGTTAAATATTTCGAATATCACCACTGGGTGAGGCTAGATCTGTAGATACAAATGGCTTCCAACCACCTTAGATGTTCAGTGTGTGGTGAGGTGAGGATGACCCTCGCTTGGTTAAAAATTGGCTCTATGTCTGGATCACTGGCGTAAATGGCGAGAGCAGTGGTCCTCATGTGTTGTATGTTAGCTAGGTGACCACCACTGCTCTCGCCATTTACGCCAGTGATCCAGACATAGAGCCAATTTTTAACCAAGTGAGGGTCATCCTCACTTCACCACACATTGAACGTCTAAGGTGGTTGGAGGCCATTTGTATCTACAGATCTACCATCAACAACACATGTATCAACCACAAGGAGAAATTGACCCTATCCATAGCATGGCAGGTGCTAATGGACAATGACTTTTAATTCTTGACAATTGCTGCCAGATGAAGTGTGCGTGCTCAGTAGGATGATATCATGAACATGTATTCAAATCAAATTTTAAATTGTGTTCTTTTTGTACTTGCATTCCATCAGAAATTTTGCCATTCACCTGAAGAAGAACCGTTTATGGTTCAAAAGCGTTTGTGAGGAATTGTTTTTTGGTTTGTATTTGACTTCACACCAGTAACAGGTTTGTGGATGTAGTTAATATTTTTATTAGCTTCATAAATAATAAACTATTTTTAGTTTTATTTTTTATTAATGTATACATTTTATATGTTTTATATATTATTTAAATTCATTCATAATATGAAACTTTATAGACTAGTTTATATAACATGATATGAAAGTAAAATTCCCTTTCATATACCACAGTGCTTGGATTAGTAACCATACAGAATTAACAGATATGGACTGATAGAAAGAGATAAAAGATATTTGATTAGTACCATTCTTTTGCTAATTTGCCTTTCCAGGACCAGGTTTTGAAATTTATATGAAAAATGAGTGAACTCCAGAATCACATTAAGGGAAACCTTCTGATCCATACAAGAAGTAAATGTTCTAAGAGTTATTGAAAGTGTTTTTGAGAAAAACAAAGGTTTACTGTTAGCTCTTCTCTTTCAAGTTACAGGTTTACTGTTAACTCTGCTCTTTCTGCCCCCCAAAAAAAGAAAATTGTCTCAAAAATAACTGCATACATTTATACATAAGTAAAAAAATTGTAAAAAACAAGTGATTTGTTTTTTATTGATTAGAATAATTTTGTTAGTTTTGAAATGGAAACATTATTTATTGTAAAAGGTATGTAATATTCATAAGTTTTGTTTAATTTGATGGTGGTTAAACACATTTTTCTATATTATAATTAATTCTCAACAGTATTAAAATTTATAAAAATTTCAGTTTTGGTGACTAACATTTCTATTGAGAAACTCCTCCCAAAAATCACAACAAACATACAAATATAGACAAAAGCAGTCAGTGAATATTATAAAAAATATAGGTTTAGCTATAAATTAGTTTCAAATCAGTTACTAGAGGTAGAGAGGAAAAGAAATATGCTCTTGTACTGTTTTGCCGATAGGAAAGCTGGATAGGTAAAGTACTGTGGGTGATCAGTTAATGAACATAATCCATTCCAAGACTTTGTTTGCTATCTGAATTGTTCGTTAACCGATTATCGATTTACCATAGGTTTTTATGGGAATTTGATTAATTCGTTCTGGAGACTCCAAAAAATAAAAAAATATATACAGTAGAACCTCGATTATCCAGACCTCTATTATCCGGATTTTCGATTATCCGGATTGTTCAAAATAAACAAAAATTTTACGAATTTGCTGATTTACACTCGGTGAATTACGATACTGTTTATGTACGTGATGGAATGCATAACTTTTTTATTCAACAACGTCTCACCTGGCACAGTGGCCGTAAACTCTCAAATATATTTTGCGTCTTAATAAAAATATAACTTGACATACGTATTTATAAATAATTTATTTTCAAATTACATCATTTCTATGACCAAGGGCGACGTAAAGCATGGACGACGTGGGCCACCGCCTATGCTTCGCGGTCCGAAGGGCCTCGCGCCTCAAAGGTTTATGCATTACTTAAAAGCCGCGAACGCGATGAAAAAATTTTACTCGTCATAAAACGATAAATAGTTTGTCAAATTTTTATTCATAAAAATGCAGTTTCAACTGCTTTTTATTTTATAAAATCCGTCTTCTTGCGCCACCAGAGGGCCTTTTAAACAATAGGTAGTCTGTTAGCGTTGGTCAGTAGTAGTCCAAATTCAATACGAACGTTTGTTTCTTGAAAATTTGATTACGATTTAAATACAGTATTTACTTTTAATATTACCGATATGTCATCGAAAAGAAAACGCGTTGTATTATCATTAAAAGACAAATTAAAGTATTTGTTTCGATTATCCGGATTTTTCCTTATCCGGACTACCTTCATCCCCAATTAGTCCGGATAATTGAGGTTCTACTGTACTTTCATTTATTTATATATAATAATAATAATAATAATACATATATACACAGTCTTGAATTTTTATTAGTCATGCTTTTTTCCATTTGTGGGGGTTAAAGAATCTGTCTAATGTCAATTACTTTTCTCTCTTCTTCAGTATTTTTCATAAGTAATTAATAGCATTATAATTGTAGAGATCCGCAAGTATATTAACCTCAACCTGGTTTGAATGCCATTCTAAGACCGTTCTGATATCCTCCCACTTATTCAAAAGATGTTTAATAGCAGATATTGGCATTAATCCTCTTTTTCAGAAGAAAACATATCTTGCCAAGTTTTTTGGTGTTCTTCATTCAAGAGTTCTTGGCATTTTCCTGTCATCAGATCAGTTTCAGGTTACATTATGAGCTCTTCAATGTTCTTTATTTCTCAGATGTGATTTTTGTTACACCTTAATTTGCTTGAGTTTTCTTGATTATACAGTATCTTTCTTAGATAAGATTGAACTGAGGCCTACTGTAGACCTGTTCAAGCCATACCACCCATCAACATTAAACATCTGCTCACTCTCTACCTTTGCTATTATACTCTCACCTTTCAAAAATAAATACCCATGCAAAACTTAACGAGTGCCTGCCTGACAGTCTCGCGAATACTATAAAAGAATTGTTTGTGAGAAAAATAAAAGGCTGGAATTACAAGGGAGAGTTTTAAAGTTTGGAGAAATACTATCCGAGCAGTATATACTGGGTTGAGCATTGATATCGTCTCCCACACTCCAAGAAGTTTTGAATTGTTGTCTGAAGACCAATTGGTATTCATTATTTTATGTTGCTTCTTCTTGTGTTTGTTATGTGAGGTGTTCATTGTCCGAACATAAAAAATCTTTTGTGAAAGTGTTCGTTAACCGATCACCCAATGTAATTGTATATTTGTGTAGGCCAGACTTTTTTGGTTTTGTACCCCTAAGACAAAAATAATTATAAGTTGTATCCCCTATAATATAATATTTTGTTAATTAATGAATATATTTTGATGCTATATATTATGAATAATATTTTGTTAATAAACATAATGTTAAATTTCCTGCTATCTGCAATTTGAATTTTTTCTGTATATGATTATAAGTGATTGTGAGCCTACTTCTTTGGGAAAATGACTGTAAGATTAGACAGACTGTTTACAGGACACACATACAGTATTTTGAAGGGAAACTTGGCATACCCCACTTTGGAGACCACTGGTGTAGGCATTGTGAATATTTTTTTTTACTTGGAGGGACTAGACACAAAACTGAATTTTATTTTTGTTTTTCTCAGAAGTAAACACATTCAATAGTGCATGAAACATCATTTATTACTATTATGGGTTGGAAGGTTTCCTTTTGTAAAAGTAAGGAAAAACTGATGCCAACTGATGTGACCCTATGCTGTTTTGCATTTACTTCAGAAATTGTACTGTCTGAGCAACTTTTCTTCCATGTTTTATAAGTAAATTTAATTTTTAAAGCTTAATAATATAGGTTTAATTATACATACTGTATATAATATTTATTCTAACACATTTTAAATCAGGGTAATGATTTTTTTATATTAAATATTTTTATTAAAATTTATATATTATAAATAATTTTTAATTATGTATTAATTGATCATATTTTAGGAGTCTGTTTTGAATGGTCGTTTGGAACCTGTTAGTACAGTAGAAGGATTTACAGCTGAATTAGGAGCAAGTGGATCTTTTTGTCCTCGTCATATCACCCTTCCAGTCACTGTATTCTTCTATACATTGCAAGATACAGACAAAATGGCATCTCCTTATTTAGTAGGTTAACATAGAAAAATATTGTTTGTCTTTTACTTTATATTTTTAATAAGGTACTTTTTCAAATTTTTTTTTGTAGTTAATTGTTAATGAACATAATCCATTCCAAGACTTTGTTCGCTATCCGAATTGTTTGTTAACCGATTATCGATTTACCATAGGTTTTTATGGGAATTTGATTAATTCGTTCTGGAGACCCCAAAAAATAAAAAATATATACTTTCTTACTACGTTTATTCATATGTAATAATAAAAATACATATATACACAGTCTTGCATTTTTATTAGTCATGTTTTTTCCGTTTGTGGGGGTTAA